ATTTTTGAGAAATTTTTGCACATTTCCAATGTATTAAAATTTTATTGCTTTTTCGAATGATGTTTCAATAATTCTTGAAGCAACTGGTGCTGCTTCATTCCAATAGGCATGCCTCATGCAAATTCTTTCTCAGTATAATCTCAAGGACTCGTCATTTGAAGTGAGGGCACATGACCACGTCTATGCGACAGGCACACACTGAGAACATTCAACGAAAAGAAGATTCACAATTATTTCTGTCGAAGGCAAGATCATGATGGATTATATTGAATGCGAACAAAGTATATCCCCAGAATCTGGGCTCATTCGCACTAATGAGTAGCATTTATCAATATGGTCCACACTGTTGACTACCTGTCAATCATCAGTGAGCGTAATGCTATTTCACTGGTGCTGTTACATCGTGCTAAAATACACTTCAGAACAATCTCTCATTCATCATCAGCCTGAATTAAACCTCACGGTAATTGATCCGCTGTCAATCACTCCATCTCAGTTTCATAAACAAGCATCGTTGGTATTGCATTATTCTCGGATAGGCAAACAGCCTTGAAGAAGAGAACTTTTACAAAGTGAAACTTCAACCAGAGGCTGTGATTATTTCAGCATTGTTGCCTGATAAACAATGCCGAAATAATCACCGAAGATAAACAAACTATTTACCAAAAAATAACATCAACTACGAAAAGCAACTGACGCTCTCGTTGAATTGCCTGTCATAAATTTGGAGAGTTGCTATAATCATCAGCGGCTTATCTTAAACAATGTGTAAACCGATTTGCCATTCAAAGCACACCTGGAAGATCTTCCAACCTAGCCAACGTATTCCCAGTATTTGACAAGCGAACTAATGGAACTGGTCATCCGTAGTTGTTGAAGTATATGAGTGAATAATCATCAGGTTTTCAACATTAAAAGTGCAAATGGAGAGAAAGCGGTGCTAATCAATGTGTGTAAATTTGCGTTAGGTACGTTCAGTGTATTGTTTCACGAGTTCCTCCTTCGAGCGAATACTTCTGAAATAATTCCAGAGGTTAATTGCATTACAATAGCCAGCATTAATTCATAGTCTAGATTCGCAATGCAAACCATCAGTGGGCACAGCAATGGTTTGTATTACCTTGATTCAATTTCAATGTGATTCGCATTAGCATTCAATGATAGCTGGAACAAAGTAGTCAGCCCTGTCAGTGTTCATCGGAAAACATTTCATTATGATTCGGTGCTACTTTTGACTGTCGCTCATCTTGGAAATGGATCTTTCGTGCAGCGTTTGAGTGCAAAAAAATACAAGCTTATGTCGCGTCAATGGATTATTTAGTAAGCAAACATATGTCGTTTGAGAGTGGTTGTGAATTGACTTGGAAATTAGTTAATCCTGCTAATAATTTCATCCGTATGCACGGAGATATATTAGGCAATTTGCACTACGATCATTTGATCGCTTTTGAACTCTTCCCTCAAGAACATTTCAAACCAAACAACAGTTTTGTGCTTGTCGTAATGATATTCATTCACAAATGAGAATTTTGTCTATCAAAACTTGAATAAACAGTGCAATGAACTTCAATGGATTTATGCAGGAATTTTAGTGAACTTCCTAAAGAATCGTTTCACATTACATGCTCGCTGTCATTCTGTCTTAAATTTCAGCCGCATCGACGCCATTGCTAGATTTTCTTCACCGTGAATTGACCCAAATTCGATGTCTAAACTAAATGCTCAGTTATTGTCCTCTGCCGATCGTGTGCTTCTGAGAATTATCACGTTCCTATTGTTCCGTGCCATATTTTTTCCATATGCAATTCGTAATCGCATCCGGACAAAAGTAAATGCCATCAGATAAATCGGTTGTGACGTGATATCACCCAGTAACCATTTGAACGGATTCATGAAGAGAACACTTGCTGATTGAAGAACAAATATGTGAGATTGAGTGTGACTGAGATTTGTAAGACGTTGATGCGATATCCTCTGTATCACATCTCATTTTGCAATGAAGCTCTAGTTGCTCTTAGTTCACATTCTCTATCTGGTTGCAGATCGAACCGAAACGGGTTGTTACGTTGTTCATTTCGAGATGTCTATCAGTGCATTATTTTGGGCATTTCCTTTCACACGCATTTTTGACAATCCTTTTTAATCGTTTGCGTTTTTCGAGTTCAGCGGAACACCCAAGCTTTGACGAATTACCTTTCATTCTTCAAACCGTATGAGTAATAATTTAAAGAACTCACAAGTGATGAATTGCCAATGTGTGCATACTCAGACAATTTGCGCCATCATTCATCAATTTCCGAATGTTTTATACCTCTTCATACACACTTCTCACTGCCAGCATATTCATCTCATCTTACTACGCACATCATAAAGATCGTTTCGAACGAAACCAGTGTTATTTAAAATGGTGTCAGGAGCTGAGTATAAATTCTCAAGGTTGTCGAAAGGACACGTATGGTGTGATAGTTCATCTCAAGTGTTCGAACACCGGGTCACTACTGAGGGCCAGTTTTTTTTAATTGACTTTGGCGCAGTCATAAATGAGTTGATTTGAACAATTACGTCGAGGGTTCGATACCAGTCCCATTATTTTGTCCTGTAACCGTAAAATAAGTTTTACAATAAACAAGTTTTTTTGCGATAGTGGAAGAAATTTTCCACAATATTTTACAAAACAGTATTTCTGACCATTTTATGAAATATGTCGGAGTTAGAAAGTGATGAGTGCGTCACCGACACTGAAGAAGATCAGCAATTTTTAGTGCATCTCGTAAATTCTTGATATTATATTTCAATTAGTGGCAGTCAATATCTGCTTTGGTTTGCTAGGCAGAAGCTATGGGCAAGTCCGAAAGGAAATCATGGCACTGTGAATGTGAACAGAAGATCAGTGGTCTTTGATCTTGGATTTTGAATCTGTGCAACCGAGAAATATCCACGCTTCTGACACTAATGCAGTTAAAAAGAGTGTTTTTGAAGCATACCAAGAAACAAAGAGCCGTTCATATCATGTGCTTTTCATAGCATTCATGACAGGAAAATTCGTTCCTTTTGTTTCGTCACAAATCTGCATCGGTGTTTCTTCGACAACAATTCAACTTATTGTTGTCGTTTATTTTTTATTTTTACTGTTTTCTTTGTTTTAAATGCCTTGTGGAACATGCAGACAGAGTATGTCTGCAAAACTCATAAATGCTATCTGGATGCTTATTTCCGAATTTTGAGATGAAGTAATGAAATCATCCGCGATCGGTCGCCAAAGCTCATCTTTTTTATTCAAATCAACTCACTAACCAACCACCCAATCCATCACAGCAACTGGAGTGAAAAAACACATAAAACATCAATGTTGGCTTAGAATTTCGAATCTATGAGTTCGAATACCTCCTTCCAAAGGATATCCAGGCAACAGCTGCTTCTATCGAATTTGAAACCGTTATATTGCAACGTCAACTGAGCGCTCGAAAAATGTTCAGATTTATGCGAGTGAATTCGATGAAATTTAAAGTGAAACCGTTCCCGTAATTTGTTTCAATAGCGATGAATTGACTCCTGCGATCGATGGACTTCAAGAACAATCATGTTTTGATGCTTCTGGATGTTTTAAGAGAGTCACCATAATTCATATAATCGCCTGCTTCTCCTCTCTTCCGAATAATTGCCAAAACGCCAATAAACGTTGCGGAATATCACGAGTCAGCATCACTGTCCTAGGAAAAGATGCTTCTTGTGATCTGTTTAAGACGGATGCGTAGTTACACCAGAGTAGGTAATCAAGGATTCATCGCTTCGCAATGTCGAACACTGCAATTCACCCGCGAGTTGCCGCTTCTGTCTATTGAAATATTTGTGGGAGCGGATTCAAATTTCGATCTAATCTGTAAGTTCGAATAACTCCTCTCAATGGATATCCGGGCAAGAGCTGCTTTTGTCGAATTTGAGACTGTTGTATTATAAAGTCAACCTGGGCGTTCGATATCGCTTCCAGAGAGAGCTAGACATAGGACATTTACATTTATACGAGTGAATTCGATTGAACATGATGTGAAACTGTTCCTGTAATTTGTTTCAGGAACGTTTTCGTTGTCGGTCTGCATACGATCTCTTTCACTTTGATGTATCACTTGATAATGCAATTTTGAATCAGTTCATAATCAAGAAGTCAATCTTTGATTTGTTGCGCTTGAGAAATGATCAAGTATCGGTTCAAATCTATTGTCACAAAAACTTTTTTGCTTGGAGCCACTCACTCAATTTACAGCCACATCATCACGACTGCCTTAATGACTTCTGTAGTAACCTGAATAGCTCGTGAAGCGGAGCATGTTCTTCCACTGCAATTGCTAGTAAATGAATTCATTCATCTGACCGACTAAATTCTTCATTGTGTAAATTTTTATTGATAGCGTGAAGTATCAATAATTTCAACGAAAGATTCTTCCCACATTTCAAAGCATAACAAAGGATTGCGAGCAGGATTTTAATTCGGAATATAAGTTGCCTAATTTGGTCATTTCCGAGGCATTACTTCGACAGATTCTCTCATTACCGTCCTTCGGTATCTTTGCAAATTTACCACTAGAACTAGACTGCGATTCATTGGTTTCATCTTCTACCGAGCATCCTTCTAATGGAGCTCGGTCCTTAACCATTTCCAGTCCTGAACTCCTTGAAAGACCTCTTCAGTGTCCCTGTAACGGCTTCAAACACTACTCGAGGTATAATTTCTTTCTCAATAATGGAAAATTACCACTTTGAGCAACCAAAATCGGAAAATGCGCAAACCAGAAATGAATGAATTGCTATTTGAATTGCTATTATCCATTGAGGGATGCGATCGAAATCTCATTTCGTTTGGTTCATTCTTCTTGCAAGCATGACTAGAAACCTTGTAAGATTGAATAATAATACTGATGACTGCAACAAATTTCTGTTGAATTGTTTGCTCGTTAACCGAACTGGCCGAAATTGAAACGTTCTTACAACAAGATTTCGCTCCAATGTATTTGTTGGTTGCTATAAAGGTGAACATCACATCCGACTGCACTGAAACATACCCAACATTGATGCGTACCATTTCGGCGATACTGCTTATGAGCAACGCATGAAGCGAATCAGTTTCAGAAGATTTTTCAGTTCATCATCGACCGCCATTAATACGTATGGATGCAATTCATCTGTTAAAGCACATCCAATTATAGGTGCCGAAAGCGAATCGTGATTTAAGTCATCTGATGCTACTAAATGGAATATGTGTCGTCCTTAACGTATTAATATTTTTGACGCCTTGTTTCGCTCAACCGGAATATAGTGATCCAACAGCACAAGGTTTGTGATAGCGATTGGATTCGACATCTTAACTTTGTGGAATTTCGGTGTGAACATGCGACTTGTTTTGATGGGAGTACGGCATTTCACGGTTTAGGTTTAACGGATGTGAAGATCGAAACTAGGAACCGAAAAACTGTCTAGCCTCAAGCTTCTTTTTGTGGACATTCGTCTCCACTCACTTTTTTCGTCTTGTTGATGTGTCTCGACTGTTGATTGAGCAGCGAAATTTTCGAAATAATCGAGCACATAACCAGTATTATGAGTAATCTTTGAACGAAAAAACGAATCCCAATTGAGCACATTCAGAATTAGCCCTACTTGATTGGACATCTGGCATTCGAGTGGCGTATTGCACTGATGCTGGCGTTGAGAAGTTGGCTACACCATTCAAGGTAGCGATTGCAAAGACGTTGAATAAATTCTGTCGGAATGCGACTGCTTGTTTCCTTCTCAAACCGTTAGTGTTCGAAATTTCGTTCGTTTATTCTATATCAAAATATTGCAGACATACACAGATAAGCAGTCATTATGTTTTCGAATGCCTAATTCTAGATTATTGCTATCTCACAATCAGCAGTATACAATCGCACGATATAAGAAAACAACGTTCACAACCAAATTGATCTATATACAACCAATTTGACGTTCTTTCTTTCTCTGACCAAGCGAAGAAGAACCTACCGCACATATTTTGCAATTTGATTTGCGGTGTAACGCAGCAGCAATTGGGTGGAGATGATGATGTACACAATCCATTCTCCGAGCTGTGCGAAACCGGTGCACGCAAGTGGCCGAGTGGAACCGGAACGGGTGACTTGAGTACTTCAAGGCTCTCGTGGTTTCGCCTATCGCTCCGGCTCGTTGAACGGCGAAGACGAAAGTTGTGGCTCTGATCCGTACTATGATGGTTCTGATTGTAGTAATACAGTTGAGAGCGGTTCCAAGGACTTGTAATTTTGAGTGAATATTTGGTTCCAATGATAGTTGGTGCATGCTTGTGTAATCGCAGAGTTCGGCTGAAAGAAGTGCTAGCGATCGCAATGGTGCACGTATTGTGAGTGAATCCTGAGTGTGTGCATGAGAATACAAAAATACTGCACAAAAACAGCGTCATTTCGTTGCTCACGTGGTAGCAAATCACATATGGATGGAAATGTACTCACATCAGAGCCAAAAGAGATCGATGGCGTTTTCTTGAAATTTAAGTGCTTTCACTCAGTTTTAGTGTTGAATTCACCTCCGAACAAATAGTTCTTTTGGATGGATATCCGAGAAGAGATTATGGCGCGGTACAATTTCGATTTGTGGTGGTATTGCCTCATGGAGCAATACCAAGAGTGAAGGTGCGTCAACCCCTATTATCAAAACAGATTCTCTCCAGTAAGTCTCATTTTTGCTTGATCAAATTGATTGTCATGTAAAGAAAGAAGAACAAGTCGCATTCATCAATGCACTTTGTGCTCACACACTGCTTTTCTAAAAAAAAAACTCTTTGCTCGCATTCAACATCTCAGTCCAGTTACCATACGCAATCCGTATTTGAAATGAATTAAGATTTCCTGCGGAAGTACCTCGACGAAATTTCGAAGCGACTCGACTGGAGAATACTGAGTTATGAGAGGTTTCCAAAATACGACGCAATCACCGAATTCATGAACACGGCGCTCATTCCGATTGGTTTATTCCTACTGATTTTCATGTTCTTCCTTGCTTACTGGTCATCAACTTTCAGGTTTATGTCTATGAATTTTGCTCAAGTTTAAATGTTTTTTGAATAATTTTCAGCTGTAGTGACCAATCACCAAGGAAAAGACATGATGCGCTACCATTAAAAAGATAATAATGTGCTTGATTCAATAACTGATCGTTTTGCAGCAGTTCCTCTAGCAGTAACGAAGGATGGGTGGTAAGTGGAGCATCTGGTGGCAAAAATGCAGCATTGAGGTTTGTAGCACATCTGCTCACTTATCGCTAATCATGACCGATCGATGAGTAATCAGATATATCCGGAACTATTGTTCAATTATAAGCGTTAAATTCGTTCATCGTAGGTAAAATGGAAATTTTTTAATGCAACACAATATCACGAAAGAAAAGCAATTTCTCACGGACCCCTCTCTGTGGTCCCAAATTCTACTCAGTTGATTGGTTTTAGAATGCGTTTGCTAGCAGATTTGTGACATGCTTGTGAACAGTATTGTGAAGTTATGGTACGTAAAGATGTGATGTACATATTGCTGGCATGTTTAAGCAAGTGTTAGTATTTAAGCAAGTTGCATATTTTAAGGAGAACACTAGAGTTGATTGAGGAGCAGCGTGATGGAGAAATTGATGATCAACGCAGTAAAGCTGGGGGACTTGACGGACCTATGACAGCGAGTATGATCAGCACTGCGAAAGACACGTCTTCGGGGAAAAAGTCTAGTGAAGTGCTTCTGGATGTTTCTGGGTTCGCCAGTTTATGAATGAATCGCTACCAAAAAAGCTACCAAATTGATTTGTAAATTATCCCATCACTTTTGAATGCTGCTTCAGTTGACAAAACCCATGTTAATAAAGTCGGCGAAACAAGTGTCTCAAAAAGTATGCTTCAGTATTCGAATGATTTATCACTTCCAGGTTACCAACGGATGAAAACGATAGCTTTGGAGCTCTTCCTGAAATAGTTGTCGTACCTTCTGATGTTAGGCAACGCCATTCTGTTGCGAGGTAGGGAAAACTAATCACGAACCTGGTTTCAGTTGGTAGTGTTGTTCAAGTGTACCGTGTTCGTTGACTAGTAGAACTAAAATCTCCGACTGAAAAAAAACATCAATAATAACTGACCTTTGCAGTGTTCTGTTGAAATCACCTGTCCTGCTTGAATTTAAGTAAAACAATCCAACGTCCAAGAACACGCGAAATCATTTTAGCTCACGACGATACAGTCGACGGCTGAGTTCGGTTGATGAAGTGATGAAGGAAAAGAGGCATCGAAGAATACGAAACATTCCGTTCGCGGGTCGAGGTCCAAAGCGAGCCTGGAAATCCGGTAGTATGGCTTTGGGAGGATTTGGTAAAAGCTGAACACAGAATAGATAAATTGTTATATATTTGTTCTTTTCTTCGCTTTACAACGCAATTTTTACTATCAACGATGGTAGCATGTTATTACTGAGAACTGACTTATTTGCATTCTGCCAGCCACTCATCTGATGATTTACAGAAAGTCTAGTTCTCATCTTAGTGCTGTGGAAGTCAGCGATTCTCGCTGGATTTGCAGTCGAGGTCGATTGCAAATGAATAGAATTCATTTCGTGAGTCATGAATTTAGAAACTCATTTGAGATGTGCACTGTTTGTTTGTTGCGTAGGAATCACATTCTGTCAGCCAATAGTGTGAATTTTTCGTCCGAGGCAAATCGCGATGAAAATCTCGACGTCATTTATTCGGTTGCAACTGCATGTGTCAAGCATGCTCACTGCCAGCAGATCTCTTGCGACTGACTGTCATGAGGTCAAATCACATGTGAAGCAATTTTTAGAGCCGTTGTTTGGGGTTGTTGTAATCACTACTTGCATTTTAGTTCCCCTTGACCTCATTTCACTGTGTTCATTCAAACCTATAATGCTTATCTGTAAATTCAATTGCAAATATAACTGAATACGAGCTTGTAAGTGCAGTTTTCTGTTCCGTTTTCAAGGCATTTCCTAATCTCTGAACGACTTCAAACGCAATTTTGCTAACATAAAAGTTGTTTTATGTTTGTTTGAAGAATCGTTATGGCATTCGTATCAGACTGCTTAAATGGTTATCGAAGCCGAGCATTTCAAATTCAGTTTTTGACAGATTACTAGCAAGAAACGTCTTTGTGCTTTCGATAAGCGCTCATTATTAGACTTTGTAATCGAGCATATGCACTGACGTAATGTTACTTTGAGTTCGTGTGTTTCGAGAGATACAGATGCGTTTTTATTATGTGAAAGGCGTTGTTATTTCAGTGCTGTACAAATATCTCCATTATTGATATGTTTATTTCATCCATTTGTGCCTTCTTGTGCGTGCATTTTTCGTTTCTTGAATAAATCTTTTTATAACGAAACGAACCAATTTCATGACACAATGAGCAAATCCTTTTTTTGAGTAATTCTCAGTTGAACAAAAAAGAATTAGCATGAACACAAGCATGAATATACAATACTTTATAGTAATCTGTTGAAATGCATCAGCCATTCCATTCCATCATTCAGATACGTAATAAGACTATAGAAACGTTGCTGTTTCTCCGATTAACTTCAGAGTCAATTCAGTATTGGGCGTGAACTTGTCAAGCATGTTCATGTATTGCTGGTGTTTGCGTATACTCTACGATTCATCTGTTCATTTGAGAGTGAGTGTGTGAGAATTTAGTTTATTAAGAAATATCCGACACTAAGAAATAATTAAGGGAATCTTTTAGTAGGCACCAAATGCGATGACTGTGAACCGTTGACGTTGCCAATAGACGTCTTACTTGGTCATTGCTTTATCGAGGTGTGTTACGACCACCTTGAAAATTTCATCAATTGTTCCTTCCGATGGAATCTGAAATTAACAAAGATACAATGAGTCTTTTCAAAATATTGAACGTTTCTAATGTGGCTGCCTAGCTATAGCTTTTCAAAATTAAAGATTTGTTTTCTGAACGAAAAATGAGCGACAACGCTATTTGTTCGCCTCACTACAACCAACTGACTGTCCCAAATCGTGTATAACGATTGAAAATAGCTAGATATCGAGATTAATGACTGGCTATCAAGCGAGAAAAGGATGGGACGATCATAAACGTCAACGAGCGAAAGTGCACTGTTAAAGTTAAAGTTGACCTTAACAAGTTTTCCTTTCTTTTCGTAATAAGACGTAACAGGGGCAGTTGCAGTGATGTAGGTGTTGAGTCGCTTCTTGATCGTTTCAATATTATCATCAACACGGCCACTGAAAGAGGTTCCAACATAGAAGGGAATTGCAAGGCAGGAAGTTAATCATTGTGAACGATTCTTCTTTGTGATCGGAAATCTCTTCCATGTTGACTCAAAAAATTCACATTAACAGTTGCTGTTTGTTCAATGAGCATTTAGTGGAACTGGGCACTGTGAATACTGTTGCTGATATGCATACAAGTCATTCCGATGGTTGTGCTTACCTGGTTTGAGCTCTGTGAAGGCATCGTTTAACCAGAGTTTCTTCGCTGACGTCGAAGAAGAGAACCAACTTCGCTTCTTGAATCTGAAAGAATGAGTTAAATTTGTATCACAGTAGCGAGAACAATCAAATACTTTTTCTTTTGTTCGCACCAGCCCATCATCTATCTCCTTTCCACTTGCATAGCAATTCATTCACGTTTCATTTAATATTGCTAGTTAGAAGCTCTTGACAGTACTCCCTCCTATCATATTCGATGAGGCGCGTTCTTATTTGTCTGAAAGTCCGAACTGTGCAGTACTGAGCTTGCATCTGCTGAGTATTATTTTTCAATCCAGTTTTGCACATTCATTTTGAGAAATCAGGCTTGTTTCAATCCATAATAAAAAGTATATCAATGCTTGTTTAGTATGACAGGTATCTTTAGCCAGACGATTGAGCAGTGCCAGCCCATTTAAAAGCGTAGAGCATAGACGCATACGGAACTGAACCGTATCCCCCACTCAGGCTGAACCATAGACTGGCTTAGGCACATGCTCACACTTACATTACAGCTAGCTAGGGCTTGGCGTCGTTTTTCGCAATGACTATCCATAAGGTATCCTCTCATTGCTTTGTCGATTTTAAAAAAGCTTCATAGCTGTGAAAGAGCACAAATACCAGTATTTGTGCTGGTTGCTGGATTAAATACATTACAAGTGTTTCATTCGTTTACCTCGCTCTCGAATTGTTCACCTTGTTTCACTTCTCGTGGATAACCGTCAATGAGGAAACCCTTTGTTCCCTTCTTCACAGCCTCAAGCATTGCTTCCTTCACCAAGTCGAGTACAACTTCCTTCAATTAATTAGTCTAACTTACTTGGTGTCGGAAGAGGCTGAATTTTGAAGAAATAAATTGCCATTATTACCACTACGATTCATTTCGAACTGTCAGTGTTCAGAGCGATAAAATACTCAATTTTTTCATACAAAAATGTGAAGAATCAACTGAAGGCGAATCACCATGATGAATTAAAAGAAGAATAGCGACTAACCAAAGGAACAAGTTGACCTTGTTCCATGATTTTGTTCAGTTCCGTACCCCGTGTTGAGCCTGATTTTACTTCGGCGCGAAGCAAATCCCCGGAGCTCAAGTGAGTCAATCCATATTTTTCAACAATTTTATCGCACTGTGTACCTTTTCCAGAACCAGGGCCACCTGCAATTGAGTCAACTTGTACTCAAAACAGATCAGCGAATGGCTGATGTTGATTATGACAGGAGTGTAGTGATTGTAATGCTTTGTATCATTAAATAAGCATTTGGTTGCTATGAATTGCAATCGAAAATTTTAGCACGAAAGTAATACACACCAAAACTGAAATTGAAGCAGTATCAAAATGGTAAACCATTCAAAGCAGTGGCTCTAAGCGTGATCCTAATAAGCTTGAAAGGAATAAAGAACCTTCGACTAGGAATAAGCCTAATCCTAGTCTGAAGCCCACATCTCCCTTTGAATCTTCGTATGAACTAACGTAAAGTCTAGATCTGAGCCTAACGTTACTTGTGGGGAATTCAAGTCAGCCAAGTGCTTCCCCGATTCTACAACTGTTCCATGGAAACACCCCGAATGGCACCTAGAAAATATTGCGATCTTGTGTTATACTGCATTCTAGCGCTGCAGAACACAACTAGAATGAACATATTCAGAATCGGTCACCATGAAATGTAGAACACTCATTTGATAAAATCTATGAACTCTTCAAACGAAACTCCTTCCAAATATTCAGAAAACCAACCAACGATGAAAAATATTGGCACTTTTGCCTTCTTCAAAGGCGTCAGGTCGATCTTCTTGCGTTCTATTGGAGCCTAAAAACAAACGCAACAAGAATATCGGTTTGATCGGTTTTCAGTTGCACATTTACTTCACTGTCAGTGATGTTCGTCTCATTTCAGTCAAGGAATGTGCTCTGCTCGAGAAACATTTGAATCTTAAGCACTGAGTGTTGTGATTTTATCAGTCAGTCAAGTTGACTTGAAATGCTCGCTGAAAAATTGCTATACTTATCATCTGATGTTTTACTTTTTTTGCGCTTTATTGTTGGATAACAAGCTGTTATCAGTAATCTTAAGAAAGTTCTCAGCAACAGATTATATTTATAGCTATACATAAATGAGCAACATCGAGCTCGTTTCCTCCTACGTACACTCTCTATTGCATTCTCTTCCTACCACTCATCAACATCGAAATGAATCTATCGTGCACGCAACGTTTGCTGACTAATACCCTAAAGCCACTCATTACTCAAAACAAAATCAATTTCTTGCACACACGAAAACAATATGTGGAACGAGAGTATTTCATTGCAAGTTCTTGCGACATTATTTGCACACACCTTGCTTATCTCGATTTAGGCACTCATCAAGTAACTTTTGCCAGCATCGATATTGCAGTTGTGAGCGAATAATAGTGAACGTATCCGTTATTTTCGAGATTTGCATTTCAAATCGAAAGATATTTACTTGTGATTTGCACGCACAAAAATACATTCGTTGCCACGTTGCTATGTGCTGCTTATAATTTTCTCACAAACATTGCCACTGTTTTTGCGCTTTTGAATCTTGTATATAGCTTGTTTGTAATAAGATGCCTGAGGGAAAAAAGTTGTGAGGTTGAAGGCTGCTCTGCAGAAAAAGTGGAATCAAGGCATCAAGTGCAATATTTCTAGAACTGACACGACTGGTCTGATCTATCGCTAGCTCAAGCATTTGAAAAATAAGGTTTTGAGGTCAGTTCTTGCAGTATTATTATTGGCATTGCCAATTGGTCATTATCAATTGGTAAGTCATGAGACTTACACTGGTTATTGCATGTGGCAAGGAAAATGAGGATGCGCATGGGAGCGTCAAGTTACTTTTTGAGAGCACTAATGAACATTGAAGAGTAGTTCTATCAGAATGGTGAATAATTCTTTCAAAAATAGACGATATCTATCCAGATTGCTCGTTTAGGTACATGTCAGCAAAGAGTTTCTCGAGATGACCCAGTCAAATCAAACGACAACTATCGGAATATACCTCGAACCAGAATGATTCTCATCAAATGGTGATTCGTTCGGGTTGAATAAGCAAAACATTTTTAATAACTAACAAACCAACGATAATTCCTAATTGCACTCACCATGATGCTTTGATCCGCAGAAGATGATCCGACCAGACTTTGTCGACGGTATGAGTGTAAATGCATCGTATTTAAATGAAGGCGCGGTTTGTTACGGCACGGCTGTCGGCAATAGCACGGCAATTTATCATAGCAAGCATGTTCGAATGCGTGCGGTTGCGGGTGCGTGTGATGGAACTACTGATTAGCTGCTACTGCTATAATCTATGTAAAAATAGATAAACGTTTACTCGAGACAAAGTTGACCGTGAACATGATGTGCAGCTATGATGTGATGATGGTGGCATGGAACACTGCCCTAAAGAAAATGCGACCGTTGTGTACCTACATGCACTAGATTGTTTCCACAGTTGACAATGTGAATATCTCATCACAAGGAAATAGGTGGCAATGGCCAGAAATCAATGATCAACCAAAAAATTTTGCACACAGAAGCATTCACTTTCTTCGGATGCAATCCCACTTGCAATGTTTTCAAAAAGGGAATGTGAATAAATATCAATGTCGAAGTGAAAAATTATCTATTGAACAAAATTCTGATCAAGAAAAATTTTTGAGCATTTCGCATTTTCACGTAGAAAAATATTTTGATTGAACTGCGTTAAACCATTCATAAACCATTTATTTATTTTCGTTAACGGTGCTTCTTGACAACTTTTCTATGCGATTCAATGACAGCGAAACTGCTTTGATCAGATCCCATCTCATGTGCAATCTATTTTCGACAGCAATGACGTGCTGAATGTGATCGAAAATTTTGCTGACAAATGAAACGATTATCGTGGTGTTTGCCAACGAAAACTTCGTATACGATTGCAAAAATGCCACTCGTTTTTGATGCTGCTCCTTTTCAACATTGATATTTTCTGAAGCACAAATTAATCGTTGTAGCTGATAGATGACTTGTCAGATGTGCTGAAGCACTTGTTAAGAGGATCTACAAGGATTTCATTTTTGTGAGGATCAATGCAGAATGTGAAAATATTTTCGCACCCACGCCTGATCTTTGCACAGGATCACTGTTCAGGCAGTGCAGTGCTCTAAGATTTGTTGAAAGACATTTTCTGATGTTTTCTATCTAAATGAATGGGTCGAATATTAACGATTAGCAATCTCGTTTCTCGAGCATTTTCGCAGTCGATTGCAGTTTATTTTTGCTTTTCGCACGAGCGCAGCTCCTCCTGATAATGAGCACAACGATAGGCACAAGTGATTTTTTGCTGACATCTGTAAATATAATGCACAGAGAGTGCATATGAAAACGTTCACTTTGTGTAACGTTTAAGTGTCATTGGTGTAGGTTCGAACACAGCTCAGCGAACTGATAGCAAAATGCTGCTGTGTCCCATCGAAAATATCTGTTCTCTCTCTTCATCCCTCTCCACAAAAAAAAAACAAAATTCATTCTCTTTGTGTTTATCTACGTGCAAATATTTCTGTTATTCATGTGAATCAGTGCTATTTGATATTTATGGAATGTTTTGAATGAGGCTTAGCAGTGATAATGCTCATAGGAATCCGGCTTATTAAGGGCACAAGATAGCTCACAATGAGAAAGCATTCATTTGCACATTTTTATTTGCTTCTCGTTTCTGAACATATTTAAACGTTTGTCTCATTGAATGCGTATTCAAATTTTGCATTATTCTGTTGAACCATCTCCCACTGTGCTCCTAACTGTAAGTAGAATTGGTTGGTACGTAAAGATATTTTTGGGTGATCGTGAGCATGAGCTCGCTGCACTGCTACACTTGGATATGATTGTTTACAGCAGCAAAATTGATTTGATGAGGTGTAGTGTGTGCATTGCCCGAGAGCAAAAGTCAATTATTCGTTTCTGCTCGGCGCACAATTTTTTTGAGCAATTAAGCCGACTAACATGAACCAGTGAATGTAAATAAAAAATCTAGCATGAATCTTCACACAATAATGCATTTCAAAAATGTACCCATCATTGATAACACCGGCAAACGACACATTGTCGTTGACAAAGAACAGTTTAGAGCAATAAAGGGGCTCAGAAGTAGCAATCGTAACTGATGAAAACAACGAAAGAAGTTGAGAACTGATATAACACATCAATAGGCTTCCGACTGAATTGGAATTGCGTGTATTCAGCAATTAATGTTATCGGCAACTATAATCCAATTCGATTCACCGTAATAATTTGAGGGTAATAATGCATTTCAAATAATTCTCTCTTTCATGCAAATGGCATTGTCTAGTGATCGGATTCGACCGACAGCCAGTCGGAAAAATCCGACAATTTCGGCCGGAATTCCGACGGTCGGAATCCGACCGAGCAATTTGGAAAGTCGGTCGGAATGCCGACCGGCCGAGATTTCGCTCGGACCCTATCGCTAGTACTATCAGCACTGTATTTTGTTTACAATCCAATAACCAAGAAAATGCAAATAGAGCGAATTACGAAAATACAAATCCGAAGAAACGACAAAAATCAGCATTCATTTATCGACTAAAAAATGAAATCTGATGAATCACTGATACAGTTTATTATGGTCGTTGACAACGAACATTGGAAAATAAAACTGATTCGCTGCATGTTTACACAATTCAGCTGACGTATTCCATCAACCGTACTAAACAAAAAACGTCAATTTCATATTACCACTGTGCAATATGTAACAGATTTGTATTATTATCTCAATCAGTGTAATAATAATTTTGCTGGTTGCGATTGTTTGATGAGCTGTTCCAGCGACCGGACGAAGGGGAAAGTGGCCATTGGGAGGAAAAATTCTACTAGTGATGATACATAGAATAACATGGGAAATTCATTGCGAACAAATAATACAATTCAGAAAATCTGGTTTCAATATGGCAGTGCAATCATGAATCGATAACAATAATTAGTTCTTAAAATGGGAAGGGCAGTAACTGTGCTCAAAAACTTATGCAAATGGAACACTGAATTCAATCAATAAAATGCATCTGGTTGTTTGCGATAAAACTACTTTTTGTGAACTGTCTGTAATAATGAAAAAATAATGGGCCTATACCAGGAATGTAGAATTGTTATTAGGTATGGAATGTGAGTGAAATTATGAGCATTTTGAAGATTCAGCACAGTAATTGAATAGAAAATTTGTTCGAAGTGGTATCTGAGCGATTTATGTAACAATGTAAATTAATGTCGTGCAGCAAGCATTATTCATGATAGTAACCAAACGAATCGATAACAATCTCAATCCGATTGTTAAACGACCGTGCGTAGTCGTGATAGATGAGGTCGGAACCGCGTATGAATGGCAAAAGTAAATAGGCTACGAAAACTGCTTTTAATGTCCAGTAAATGGGTCGTCGTTCCATGTACGAGTGCAGGAATACGTCCACTATAGCGAACCATCCGAACACAACCCAGTACCTTAGCATACGGGAATACTCATTGTATCGATGGTATTTGAACACACGAAACGTTGTGAACATTGGCACTGCAAACCCCTTCAAAAGCATTTCATTAGTTCGTCATCCATTCTCTGAGGCTTATAGCTGATACCGAAGCGTTATGAAATCTAAACTGGTTGTTCAAGCATTTAATGCCAGATAAATCTAGGATGTAATAAGAGAATAGTTGTTGGTTTGTAATATCATGCAATCGAACGGTGACATATCATTTCAGACCGCTGCTGCGACGTGTTCATTTCGAGACGAATTCTCGATGAACGTGAATGTTCCAACTAATTTTATTCTGAAATCAGTCTGTTTCTTGGCCATTTACATACTTCGGAACAACCTGTTGGAACATTTGGAAAAATTAATTGTGGCTGAAGTGACGAGCTATTGTACAATGGATAAGCCTAAGCCGCTTTCCAATATGGCATTCTCGATGATAAATCAGTCACTGCGGCTCCCCAGAAAAGCAACTCGTTAAAACGTCAACTAATCGCAAGGAAATTAGCGCACATCATCGCTATTTTATGGCGCTACAAAATTATAGCAGCGGAAGTTATCGCTACAAATATCCGCTGTCTGAAGGAAGTAGTGGACTACCGTGCCACAGAGGAAGTGGCTCCATTAGTGACTGATTGATTCCGGTTATTCAAAAAATATTGGATTAATTATTGATTGAAGCAAAAACATACGGCTGTATAAAAAACGAAGTGAGCTGGTTCGCTGAAGAGGATGACAGCTGTGAATGCGATAAGCATCGAGTAAAATATTTGTTCTCTTCGACACATCGAAATATTTTCGAGTAATGTCCATCTGCAACAGCCATGTTCAATTGAAAACATGATTATTCCGTATAGCATCTTGAAACAGATCGTTAATCAATAAAGGAAGAGTTGAAAATCACTTCGAAAACGATCACTTCAGCATCCATAATGCAATCTAATTTCACATTCCATTTTCACGACCGTTTGCTATTTATATTATCATAACATCGAATTCATATGTGAATACTCTAAAAGATTCTCATTGATAGCTCATCTTGTCGCCGTGATTTGCACATCGACATGATCGGAGAATGGAGAGGTGGCAGGTTCGCTTCCAGTTTTGCCTTCGGAAGATTCGGTTTGCCCATGGAAGGTTCACTCCGAAAGATTCGTCGTTTACACCTTGGCCATACCAGAGGTGGACTTTCCGTGAGCAAAACTTTCAGAGACGAACTGATGGGGTGAACCTTTCGTAAAGTTATGGAAAGGGAATGAAATGTTCATACACTGAATTGCATCGTGGATTATCGATGTCATAGAGGAAGTTCAATAATACTGCGTTCATATTGGCTGGTGTACACTCCCACCAAGACGTGATCAGAGGGCTCAGCGGTAATGACCTTGACGATGTACTTTTCACTGCAACAGATCAAGACATGGATGAAACTGTTCCTCAGTCTATAATGGAATAAATAAATGACTAACGAAATGAAACAGTTTCGGAAATTATTTAATAGCTAGCGCTTAACTCACTCTTCATCTGTTAGACACTACTGGATATTTTCTGTGATATTGATATTGAGAATTTGATTTCAAAAACACTCTTTGCAGAAAAAATTGAAGGAACAATTGAAATTACTTTGTAAAATTAATATTTTTTTTGCACCAATATATGCATGAATCTGGATTAAGCAAATTACGAGCAAATTAGAAATGTTTATGTGAACCTGTTGTTTGAGATAATTGCTGTAGAACTTGCGAATGAGAGCTTTTCTCTGTGCTCTGGAAGAAAGATTTTTTTGAAGAGATTAACGAATTTGATTCTCATTATTATCCAGGAATTTATCTCAAAAGCATGTGAGGCTTTCTGAATTTATCGGTTGTTTACTGCAATTGTATTTTACTGAAACTCACATTTTAGTGAGGTGAGCGAATTCTTACGAAAAATCGAAGAGATCTTTCGACGAGATTGGTTACATGGAGACTTCTGGAATTCTTTCGTTGTTCGAACATAGGTGAGATTTGTTGACAAAGGAAGCAAAGGAGGAATGACACAACGAACATCTGTTATTACAGAGGGAAGTGGAGATCCATCGACATGCAATTCAGATCGGGAGGATTCACATTTCATGGGAGTTACTACTCGCTTATGATCCTCCTCTGTGCCTTTGTTTTTCGGATCTTCATCCGATTCTCCTGAGCCATCGCTATCTTCATCCGTTACCGATATATCCGTAAGCGTCTTCTTCGAATCACCATCATTTTTCTTAGGCAAACGTTCGCTTGACTCGTTTGATCTTTTCACATCCGACTTCGGCTCATCTCGAGACGCTCCTCTTGGAAACCTCTTAAAGCGATTTCCTGGCATGAATGATCCAAAACAAAATCAGTTACACTGTGAAGCGTAGGATAGCTTGACTCAGTAGTACTTATGTCAAAACGTGGATTCATAAAGCTTAATTCACAGCAATGCGTGTCTTCTCGTGACCCTATCTCAGAATGATCAGCAAAATAATGCTGTCGAAAAACTGTGCGGACTCCGTAATCATGATGTTCAAAAAAAGGCACCGTTACGTGGTGTTGAACAGCTTTAGGATGGAAATAAGCACAATGATACATTGATAAGGAAATGCAATTCTTGCCAGACACTGTTGGATGTGATTGTTCATTACCTATACCACTTCAGTTTCATTTAATTCTGATGTTCATCTAATTCTGATGTAATTACAAACGTCTATAGTTAATCAATTTGACTTACAGCAGATAAAATCCATTTTTTAATTCCCCACATTTTTTGCTATCGATTTTGCGGAGCAATTCGTTTATTCTCTGAAATGTCAAACATCTGTGCACGACGAACGACAGTTCATAATGAGCCGCATTTCAGAGGCTGTCACCTACTACACGAACGAAATAAACATCCAAATGCACAACTCATTTGCACACATCAAAGGATTGTCTAAAGCGCTAACATTGCACTACGAATTCGTTTCCATCGCATGCAACTATTAGCGCAATCATCGTTCATCAAAAGTTTTCGACCTGTGGCTTTAAACTGAATCAAAGAGATCGCTTTTAAAACTTAAACGGCATATAACGAGACATCCTCATGTCCTTGACTGAAAGGTTCATAAACACTTCCATCTGCACAAATCAACGAATATACCTCCAAGCAGTATATCGAAACCCCACCGCTCTGACTGAAGCTAAAAATTAAAATGGATTCTCTTGGAAATATTTCCTTAACAATTTTCTCAGATCCATAATCAACGAAGTTTGCATTTTATGCATCAATTCGCAAATTAATCATTACATTGTGTTCATATTATTGTGAAAGTTTTCGTCAGAAAATTTTCAATACATAGCTGTTTTATTATGAGAAATTCCCCGCAGACACTTCAAACCAAAAAAAATCTTGAACAGTGATCTTGCAACTGTCAATGAATATAAATCAATTTTTAGCACTCGATAATCAGCTCTGGATCCGATAAAATGTGTAAGCGTAGATTAAAGTAGCCATATTCCTTCAAAATGGCAGGTCACCAGGCAAGGATATGAATTTATCACGTACATATACAAGATGAATTAGAATTCAGTAATTATTTCACATTGATAATAATTAAAATCGAGTAGGCAAATATGACATTCGACATAGTTAAATCACGATACTTGATGTTGAAACAAATAACAATATGAAATGAATGATTTAGTTTCGATAACATTTCAGTTCTGTTACGTCAGGGTTTCTCAACCGGGGGCGTATGCACCCCGAGGGAGGGGGCGTGAAATGGTATCCCTGGGAGTGCGAGAGGGAATGCGAGACGAGGTTCCATTCTTTATTCATTAAAGTAGGCGAGGATGGAGTTCAACGCATACATGGATGAAAATTAGGCAATGCGTTAAAAATGTTTTTTTTTTGGTCGCGTTTCATACTTAAATAAACGATTGTTGCAGGGAGTGCAAAGGCATCCTAAAGTTTTTTGGGGAGTGCGGGGCAAAAGGTTGAGAATGCAGCAGTATTATCAAATATTGCTGCATACTCCATAAAACAGCAATCAATTTCGAATGAATGTGTTCAGTTTCCAATTCACAGGAAGCCGGATACAATCAAACATAAAACATTTGTGAGAAAAAAAANAAAAAAAACGTCAAAAATTGATAGTGAGGTTATGAAAGTTTGGTTATTTCTTCACTTTTTGAAGTCGTTTTTTGATTTGTCGTATTTGATATGAGCATCTTTACATAGGACGTTATCAAATCGTCCATCTTATATCCCTGAAAACGGAGACACATCATTTCGTTACTATCAGATATATTGTTTAGTATCTGAGAATCGAATGCCTCAGTTGTTCTCTCAAACAACTGAAGATTAATGGTAGAATCTAGAAGGAGACCAACTATTTTTAAACCGTTTATCAAATTTGACCTTTCAAATACAACTAATGGGTGAAATAGAACATTTGATTAACGTAGAGGGAAAAGGAATGATTGCAATACGCTTACCAGAGTGGTCTCGAGCAGAAGTCGATTGCCACGATTTCCTTTCATAAGACTGCCAATGGTTATGTGGAAGTATGTGTTACCACTGGTCCAGTTACTGATGGACGTGAAGGGGTAGTTGACGACGTGTTCTTTCGTCTCATAATTATACAAATTGATACCAGTTTTGTTGATTGCAATCAGTAGACGATCAGGCATTGATGGATCCGACGATTGTTTCACCTTGAAAGATTCTCGATGAATGACTCAGACTGATACCATCTAGACTATTTGTTGACTGTCACATTGAGAGATACACCTCTCCACGTAACTCATGAACTTCAACGGAACTTTAAACGATATAAACACCATATTAAAACGCATATGAATTATTGACAGTTTAATCGAAAATACTGAATTGAATCGGCTTGAGAACAGCGGTGTAGATTGATTCAATTCTCTGACTTGCTCTTACCTCGAAGAAGGCAGATCCAAACGTTGGCCACTCAGCGATTTGTTTCAAAAATTCGACCTTTGCGTCTTCGGGCGACAAATTTTGAACTGCTCCCGAATAAGCGTTCGTGATCACCTGAACATGACGTATTAAATTCTGCGAATGTTGCCGACTTGTAGGTTTTCGCACTTATTCAATCTTAGGTCAAAATGCAAAGCCACGTTCAGGTCACGTGAAATAATGGTCAGGCTATTTGCTGAGAACGGTTAAGACACTAAGCAACCACAAACTAGAGCATAGCTAGGATCTTTTCCATGAAAGGGCGCAAAATGGGGTCTGAGCCCGAATATTGGGGTGGATTTTTTAATAGTTACGTTTGCTTTTTGCACACTTCCCTGCTCTTTTTCTCATTCTTTTACCCTTTTCCTTCTCGTTTTTCTCTTCTACTCCAGAAAAGGCGATCGCCTTCTGCCTACCCCGTTCGCTATGCTCCAGATCACAACGAATTCTATTAAATTGAAGCTTGTCACTGTGGTATTTCATATCATTGAAAACTAATTTCTCCAATATTTTTGAGTGTTACTGCGACATGTAGATAGATTCTAGGAATGCTTCGAATGATATCCTCTAGGTTTACACATCAGTGATCATGAACAATCAAGATCCGAACGAAACCACCTTCTTCCAATCGCCTCCGGAATACGATTTAATCAAATTGTTAGGCACAAGATCAGGTATGAGCTGAGTTAGTTGCGAGAGTGGTGCTGGTTTATTGGTACGACTCTTTGCACGAAGTATCAATGCAGCAAGACCAATAGCCTGCTGCCGTGAAACATTGTGATATCCACGCAGATATTTTGGTAGTTCCTGTATATAATTGCAACTTTATGTCAATGAAAATAAATGGTAGCTTTTGCGCCTCGATCACTGCCAGTAAATTCACAAATTTTGAAGGAAAAACAACTGACATTGCAATTCTTGCAATTCGGTTTCGAAATTAAACTCAACGTTTATTTATATTATTTGAATGCAGACAGTGAATAAGTTGAGAGGTAAACGTTGCAATAATTTAGTGATGCTCAATCAGTTGAAGCTGAATACCTGAGGATAGTGGAACATGATATCGGCAATGCGATCGTCTCCTGGTACTGTATCAAGCCAAAGTTTCCTCATGAAGTACACCTGATAAGTGAACGGTGCAGCTGATGTATCTTTACTCGATCGATTTTTACGTGCCCAATCAGCTAACTGACGCACAAAATCGAAGAAGAATTCATTGTCAGGCACCGAAATAACTGAAACGAGTGAATTTGGCAGTCAATGATTAATGATCTAATCGTAAGTGATGAAGAATAACGCCGTGTCAACACTGAAGTCAATACAGCCCTATCACTTGACGCAGAACACAACCGCACTTCACAGTGTAACAAGTGATAAATGCAATAAGATTTGAATGTTCCTCGCTCGACTGGAATCAACCGAATGAAAGAATACTTCGAAATCGAAAGCATTCTCCTTCTTCATTATAACATTCCTCATATTAAACGCGATAAGACTGCGAACACTGATATGTGCCGTGCCATATTTGAATGGTAAGTACGCTGCTTAATGCATGAAAAAATTAGTAAAATTTCTTGATCACAACTGAACACATTCCGCGTTTAGACGAACATAAGCATACTGACCTTTCTGATCCATTTTGACGAACAGTGAGAATCCATCGCAACGAGTCAGTCCAAGACGACTCGTAATGCGGCTGCAGAAATCTTTGGCCTTTGTGGATGAATCAACTTCAATTGCCTCATCGGTACCGTCTGGGAAGAACGCCTTATGGAAGATTTGTGTAGTTTTGTTCTGGATAGCCTCTACTTCGACTTGATGTGGTGGGTATTTACGTTGACCCGCTCTGAAAATATCAATTAACACTGAGGTTTCGTGCATATATCTAGGTTCAGCGCCACACCTCTATGTTCACCAAAACAATCATAGCACTTATAATTCCACTGAGATTATACATCTTTATGGTCATTGTGAACTGTGTGGACATCATCACTACACCTTATCGTCAACTGGGTGGAAACAAGAATATCGATGAGGGAGGAATGATATTTTTTCCGAGAATAACGGGGAGGCATAAATTCATTATAAATTGTGAATGCTGATCAATTAGATAAGTATGTAAATCCAGGTTTCATACTAATTGAGAATCACCGGGACTGGCATTTCAGAATACAACGGTCGAACAAAAGTGTTGAGTCAGTAATGAACAGCATAAATTAGTGCAGTCATGTTTCGTTTCGCTTCATCTGATTTAGTGAGTCTCATCAACAGTGATTATCAGAAAGTCTACCGTAATGTTTTCTGCAGTCGGTTATAAGAATCAGCGGCCACTGGATTCGGCCGAGTTCGAATGAACGGTGTGACCTCTTTGAGCAATGACTGGCTTGGTGCGAACAAACCCGTACATAACCATAACAACTCCCAACCCCTCTCCTCACTTAGCGTGTTGTAATTATTCGTGAGTTGTTTCATCAACTGACAATAAATTTCATCTCGAAGAATCTCCTGCAATGTATCATTCACCATCTCGTAAACTTTTTGAGATCAGATGAGAATATGCTGATTCCTTTAAGGATTCGATCACTGAGAAGCTACTGTTTCCTGTTTTGCAGTCCACGTTGTTGTCGGTGGTTTTCTGTTGGTTTATTGCTAGTTTTATTGGTAGCAGGAATTTGTTATTAGTACTATTACGATTGCGATTGGAATTATTATTTCATTTCGCTAGAATTTGTTTTATGCGGTTTCGTTTCGTTGATTTATTTGTTTCATGTCATGATACCTTATTTGTATTTTTTTACTTCGATACACTGATTCTAGCTGTCTTCTTCATTCGCATTCATTGTTTTCGAAGAAAAACTTGACATCTTGAAATGAATGAAACGATCTCATCAGCAACAATTTATGATCTTCTAGTGAATCTCACAAAGAGCAAACATTTGAATAGATGCGATTAGTCGATTACATTTTCGAGAGATCCGAACATGATTTATTCCTAGAGACATCATTGCATTCCTTGCTGATGTTTCACTTAAAAACTTACGTATTTCAGAGGTCCTCTAAAGATGCGATCCGTGATATCGGTACTGTTATGCAATTGTTTTGATGGATAATCACCCATATACTTCAGTATAGCTATATATGCCTGGACAGCTTCATGAGCTGGTTCGTCTTTCCCGACCAATTTCTACAATTTCAGGTTATTGAGGTACTTCAAAGACACCTTTGCTAAGGATAACTGTCTTAGCGAAACTTTTCTTCGCTTTGTGAGCAACGGTGTTCTAGTTATTCACTTCATATCCTAATGAAGAACAGCACTCAAAAATGAACCTTAAGGAGTGGTGATTTAAGAGGTTCTCGGGTATGCGCCCAGAGTTGCGGCTGACCACCATCATGTCTTCTCGGATTTATTGTGAGTGTAGTTCGGCGTGGCAGCGTTCTGAAGAGGAATTGCTTCTCATAAATGCTAGCACTCAAAAAGTATCTCGTTTCTCAAACACAGTTATCGAAATTCAATTTGTCCAGTACAAAAATACAGCCAAAGAACAATCTTTGCAAATTTTGAAATGGAAGAAAAAATTCTCAATTTTATTGCAACAAGGAATCGCTATGCCAATTTCGATGCTTTAAACTTATGGCGTGCTCAAACCTGAAGTTATCTTTGGCGAATCTTTCAAGCGTGTACGGATGAGCAGAAGTGGGGCTCATCAAAATGGCCACTTGTTTGTCCATTGGGGATTCGAATTCTGGTCGTTGTACGAACATATCCTGTCATTGATTTTTGTTAAGGGACCAATTCACAGAATTTAGTCATAGAAATTCGAAAAGTTTCTTGAAAAATGAACTTCTCACCGCACGAACAGAAAGAGGATTACTGAAAAACATACCATAACATCAACTTTCGGCTTGGTGATAGTGGGTAATATGTAAACCATGTCAACAGGAATATTACCCTGAAGACCAGTTCGGGTATTTTCACCTGCCACGAACTGACGTGTTTTGAGTGAACTTCCAGTCAGTCCTTTTGATAACAACAGAAGATCGCCACGTTTGAATGCAACGTATGTATTCGTATCTGAAACATCAAGCATTCAAGCTTCGTTCAGCTCTTTCTGTCAAAACATCAGTTGAAACAGATTGCACACTTCAAATTGTAGATCAATTCAAAAATTTATTACGTCGCATCGAAAAGTGATTTTGCTCCAAAAATTTGTTTTTCATTCTTATTGCAAACAACATACATGCTCAATTACGAATCACGTCGCAACAAAAAATAGAGACAAGCTTGTGAATCTTGAGGCAGTAAGGATGAACGAATGTTTCAAATTCATTAACGAGTGCTGCATTGAGTAGTATGCATGCAATACACAATGATCGTTCACGCTCGAGCTTTCAATAAGACAAGCGGAATATCAAATCGAAATGCATTTTTGCAGCCGAACGAAAATCACTTTCACATTTTGATTGCAGAATTTAAATTCGGCGAATTATCCTCAAACAATACCTGATGGTGTGCAATCGTGAAGAGCGACTAAGTACGACGATCGATTCTTGAGTCCATCTAGGAAATACTCAACCAACTCGCGAACATCTTCTGAGTTTGGTGATTGGAATGTGTATTCTACTAAACTGACGGTTTCGATCGTGAATGATTCAGCATTAGATTCTGTTGCTCTAAAGAATAAAAATTCAACCAGTAACGAAATCGCTGAAACAATTTCAAACTCCGCAATCTCAGTTCAAGTCTTTCCAGCACAGCGTTGAGAACTGTGATTCGGAACGTTGCCTTATAGATGGCTATGAATAGCTCGCAAGCTGATGTTTTAGCTCTTCCGATAAGCTTTCTGCAGCAATAATAAAGCGGTGCAATGGTCGATTCAAAATGGAAATAGAAATGCCAGAAAGTGCTTGAATGATTAGAAAATGTTGCATTTGCGCAAAAACAAGAAGTAACGGACGGTGAGCATCGAACAGCGGTGATCTGCGGGAACGTGAATTCGAGAAGCACTTGTTCTTCATTATCCACAACAGACACACCAGTCCAGTTGACCGCAATTACCACCTGCAACAAGAAACGTTTTCATGCAAACAGCGTTTGGCTAAGATGCTCGTAGTTTGGAACTGTGCATTAGAGAATGAAAGCATTATCGTTCATGAACCGCGAAATGATTCACACTTCATTCATGAACCGAAATGAGGAAACACTCGATGTCGTTCGAAAATGTTCCATTAAAAGGAATTTAATTTCAGGCTTTAGCTCGTGTTCAATGAGATGTTTTAGAATTTTAAAATTCAGACTTCATTCTTCGGAAGCGGAGGTCCAGTGTATTTGTATGCTTCATAGAAACGAGAGAACAACAACGGCCATCTGGATTTCGCAAACGCTACAACTGCTTGCTTGACTTCCATCTGTGTCGGTTGTTTGCGTTCTTTGCGAGAGAATTTCTGCAAAATTCACAATACAACAGAATTTCAGTAATAGGTTCAATCGATGTGAGTTCGTTGATCGAAGTTGCTAATTTGCTGGAAAATTATAAGATGTGAACTGAAAATTAGCCTTAACCTTTGAAGTACAATACAAATCGAGATTTCTTTGAGAGTGCTGAAAATGATACCTTGCGGAAAGCGTGTAAGATTAGTTGTATCCAACGTTCCTGATCACTTCCTTTCGTCTTCTTCAATTCAAATTCAGGAATATACGAATTAATGGATTGCTCGAGTTTTTCGACTTGCATCTCTGCACCATGTTCGATGTAATATTGTTGTGCAGCAAGCGACGCTAGTTCTTCTTCCTGAAATGTATCAAAAGAAGACACATATCCATACAACCAACGCTTTCCATATGGAATGAAGAATTTTTGTCTGCTATGTTTCGTTCCAAGGAACCTATGTAAAAGCATTGCAGATGAAACATTTTGAAGACAACAAAGAAGTATGCTTTGGATGACTTCACTCCAGGTTATGATTCAATGTTCCTATGAATATTCGTGCCGTAACCATGTGGCTACTTTTCTGTCAAAGATATATAAAAAACAGATAAATACGTCTACGCCGATAACGACACACTGAAAGCAAAGAATTTAACTCATTCCATTTCCGAACCACTTCAGTAGACGACCTAAGTTGCAGCTCCCTTCGAAATACTGAACACCGATCAATAGACCGTAAAAATGATTCACCTTATCGCTTCTGTATTCACCGAATTTAATGCCACGTATAATCTGCTGGTAGATCAAGTTTGTGCTCACATCATCGAATCTAAAATTGCAATTCCAATAGAGCAGTCAAATGGCAGCTGAGGGCTTCATGGCTGCTCACTGTAATCCAAACACCTCATTCTTTGTGAATATCTCTTACAATTAATCAGTTGGACATTCATTTTTTTCAATTTGAACAGAATGACTTAACTATCGAAAATCATTTCAGAAAACAAGGAAACGCTCATTTAAGAAAAAATCGCAGTGGAAACTTCGAGATATTCCTCAAGGATCACAATCAACAATAAGCAATCAAGCTATGGCGATAAACATGCAAAAAAACATACTTAGGATTGTGCCAAGGAGTGAAGATCTCCTTTCTGAAGAACAATCGCCAAGGCGCTGTCTTTTCTTGCTGTCCTTGTTCCTTCGCATGTTGCTCATATTGACTAATCGCGTCCAAAACATGATCAGAGCCAGATCCAAGTGAGGACACCTTAATTCATTATCGACTATTTTAACTCATTCAACCTTGTGAACAATTTGCAATTTTAATTGTATTGATGAGGTCATATGTGACCATAAATGGTGTCGTGAATAATACGATTGCCTGAAACAACTTGTGCGATAAATTTCACGGTGATTGCAGCCTAAACGTTTTGTGTTTTTCCTTTGAAGACTATTTTTGTTTTCGAATGTTTTACGAGATGATTTCTTTCAGACGTTCTTCCAAACTCAATTGCAACTTTACCTTTTCGAAGAGTGCGATGTATAATGAAAATCCGAAACGCTCTTTGAGTCCAATTTTTGCTGCGATCGCATCGCATACCTCCTCTGATGTTGTTGCCGAATCACCGATCACTGTTTTCACGGTACCATCCATCAAAGTTACCGTTAATTCTATTGGATTCTTAGATTTGGTTGCCTGAATTGTGATTGTTTTCCATTACCTCACAATATACGATTAGCCTTTTATCAAACATTAGAATTTGAGAGGATTTTTATTATTTGTGTATGGTGATGATGGTGATCTCTTGATGTTTGCCTATTCATAGCTTTGTAATGAAGTTAATTGCACCGTTGTGAGGATTCGAATCATGACTGTACAAAGCAAGTACGAATGCCCAACCTGCAACTCAACATAGCTCGGTGGTTGATGACGTGTACCGTTTTTAACAGTTCTTCGGAGTCGTTGTTCAATGTATTCCGAATAACCAGATGCACCACCTGGTCCATGCTCACGAACGAAACAACACAAATAGTTCATGAAACGTTTGGATGGTGCAAAGCATCCGGCACATAACGATAGCAAAATCCAACCTCGAGCAACTGAACTCTTCGATGGATTATTTGATAGTTGCTTGCAGATCTGACAGTAGATCTCATCCCTGCAAAAAAAACATGGAATTGACAGATCACTTTAAATTGAGCATAATATCTACGCGTAATCAGCTCACTGATCGCAACATTGAAAATGAAACACACCGAAGATCAGCCCTGAGAATGCCGTGCCCAACAATGAAATGAAGTTTATCCAAGTTGCTCGTTGGTCTTTCCTCCAAAAGCGCATTATAATGACCATACTTTCCACCTTTCATTTCAATTGTTGCCTTCGTTTCACCGCTTTCGTTTACTGATTCCAGTGAATCATTTTTCGGTTTCCTTCTTAGTGTCATTGATATCAGTTTACGACCAACTGTTTTGCGAATTCGTTGTGTGCCAGTCACGCCTACCTATAACGCAAGATCCCGTCAGCAGTACTCATTTGGGTTTCTCAATTTTGCTCAATTTCTCGAAAGGTTGAGACGGGTTTCGCTATAGCAATGTTCAGTTACCGTTCACAGATCAACTCATTAACGTCATTATACGATGGTAAATCATCAACGAATTTGTGTGATTTACTTCCCACATTAATCAGCTGAGCAAGTGCACAAGTCGAGACAGCTGGATGTTTGATTCATAATTTTTTGAGCATTGTAATTAGAGAAAAGCCAGCTTTTGAAAATGAGAAATGTGAAGGTGATTTATGTGGTTAATAAATGACTGGAAAATCATTCATCATTTCGTGTTCCTAGGATGATACCTCAATGATCAATTCATCGTAACTCAAAATGATCCGAATTTATGACATAAATATTGTAGATGCTCTCATTGCATCAGTGCTGCGTCACGACATTCGTAACAGCTTACGTTATCGTAATCACTCATTTGACTGGCCAAATCAACTTCTCTCTTCGTGAAATTACGTCCTAATGTTTTGTACAATTTTCCCATCACTGATTTGCCATCCTGAAACGTTGGCCATTTTAATTCGAATCAATACGGAACGATTACATCAGTACCACACAAAGCATGAGTACACTATGATGATAGTCAGGGCACTTCGATTGCTTCAGTATGAAACCATCAAACTGGAGTTTTCAGTTCTCAATCTTTTCAGACGTTGCTGCATCTTTTTGAAATAATGTGCGAAGTAAGAATGGATGAAAATTTTGCGGTTGATCATAAAACTTTTTCCACATATTCAGGAATGTTGCGATTAAACGATTCTGTGGAGCCATTAGTGCCAGATGTGTTGGACGGGGACATGGCATGAATGCGCCTTGAAAACAATGGAAGCGCAACAAAAAACCTCGACACCTGAGTGTTTTAACTGAGCAATCAAAATTACCATTGCTGATTTTCGAATCACTAAATCAGAACAGTTACTTGAAAGTTTGCTCAATTTCTCGGAAGATTGAGACGATAATTGATTTACATAAATAAGATAAATCGAAATCAACGCAAATCGCAATAAGAATTGTGGAGTTCTTTAGTTGTCATCTTAAGTCACTTATTTCTTGCGAAACAATACAAATAGGTAAGAATACTGTATTCCGAAAGCTTCCAGTCGGAAAATATACTCCATTCATTGATGATGGAGGCGAACATTGGAAAATTTCTAATTTTTCGACAATGAGAGAGAATATGATTCGCTTGTTTTAAAAAATTAAAAATCTGAGCACGACAGTAATCAAAATGAAAGCGGTGGAGAGAGAAACCCTTCGTGAAGCAGTATAATAAAAACGACTCACATATTCACCATTCAATGAGGGATTGTACTTCGCATCAGGCAAATCGCCCATAAAACGCAATATTGTGATCCATACCGCAAGTGATGCCTAGAATATAACAAACTGATTCTTTTGACGAGACAAACGATGTCAACGTGGAATAGACAAGATAATGCGACAATAGACATGGATTTGACATGATATCGGCAATAGAATGAATTTTTATCACATTAGTGGATGCATTCGATTTCAGAAAAATGAACTAGATAGCATAAATTGGGTGCGTGACTTCAGTCTCTGACTTCATGTCAATGAACTTGAAACCGGTAACATTACTGACACCTCAAGTGTTCGTTGAGTGGCCACACAAAGCATCAGAACTCACCAACTGATTGCCTGTATCGTGATGAATGAGCAGTGGACAGCGTAGTGGCTTCTTAATGTAGTCTGCAGTTGCCTGCCCTTGGAAGTACGTAGCAGCAAATTTGTCGAACTGATATCCAGTCAGGTCCTCGTCTTGGAACGCTTCTGCTAGAGCAGGTATGCTTGACACAGTTTCACCACTAAATATATATCTTAACATTCAAAGTCGCCAATTTCGTTAGAATATTTCGTAAACTACTGAAATGTCAAATATATTATGCTTTATTGTTTCAAAAGAAGTAACTGAATTTTGAACTGCAAAGTAGGATTGGGCAGGAAACTCTAACACTGGGAAGCCCGCCAAGATATGGAGTATGGAATTCTCCAAGGAATTACGAGGTTCCGGAAGTTCTTGGGCATTCACGAAGTTTGAGGGAACCCTGACCCTACCCATAACCTTGGGAATCTCCGAGCACTCATGACATTCAGACGGTCTCCAACCCCACTGCTGATCGTTGAGGTCCACAAGATCGATTAGGCCTCTGACCAAACTGTACAATAAAGAATCGCAAATAAGCTTGTGGCAAGGATTACGTTGTAAGGTCCTTTTGTTTACCAATTAATTTCTTTTCTGCTATCGGCACAGGTGATACTTCAACTGGTAAGAATCCAAACATCTTTTCGACCTGCAAAAAACAATCATTAAATGAAAATTAGCAAGTTCTTTTATTCGGAATGCTGGCAATGATAACGTTCACTTCATTGATGCAACGTCTTCACATTCAACAGAACTCTTCTTCAACATATTCAGAACACTCTCAACTTTATAGTTTACACGTTCTGAAAATTCTTCTGTCTTCATTTATGCCAGTGCACAGACAATTCTCAAGTTTGTTTTGCTCTTGAACATTATTCTTCATAAATCATCAAAGATAAGTTCTCGCTTCGCGATCGTGCAATTTTTTGACCGCTATCAGTATCGCTGATCGAGAAATGCTAACCAATCCAGTATCATCCATCTCGTCTACAGTGGAGGCAACCGATGAAGGTGTTGAGCCACGTTCTGCTTCCTCGGGCATTATCATCATTCCAGCACGTCGTTCTCCACGTTCTCTCTTCGCTCGTAGAACCTTTCGAATCAACGCACCGCGACATTTTGCCTGAAGTTTTCATGTAATCGGTGCCCCAGTAAAATCACTTCCCAAAATTTCCACAAAATCTCTCAGCATTGAACTTCGTCAGAATTGAAAACCTTTTTAACGTTAGTTGGGAACTGTCCCTATAAAAATTTGTTGAAATATGCATTTCAGAGACGAAACTCGTCGATTATCATACCACGCCTTGGCACTATTAAGTTTCTGAGAAGAATGCATGTGTACGTTGTGGGATGTAGATGAAAAATCGCTTTCTTAACGCAGTATCAAGGCCAAAATGTGTTCGCAGAAATGTAAAACGGAATTCAAAGAATTACCACAACAGCAACAAGAACGTAGAGGCCAACAGCAATATTCACTAGGGTGCATAACACGGAAACGGACAGTGTCAAGTCTATATTCAGGAGTTGAGAGAATGTTTCCAGTGATGTAATGTCAATTTGGTGACGTTGAGGAACGATCGAGCTCATTCTTACTTGAACGCAACAATTTTCACATACCAAAAAAATTTTCAGGGCGATATTTGCGGATTGTTAAACTACAGAGCTGGATGCAAGATGGGTTTTATGGTATAACGAACAATCGCTACCAGAACAACAAGCACGAAACAAATTTCAATGTTGCGTAGGGCTAAAGTAACGATTGCGTGATGAACAGTGGATTGAGTTGAGCAATCTCAAATGATCAAATGATTGTTCTTTGCTGAGAACGCGTTGCTGTTACAAATGAAAAAATGTAGTGCTAGGCTTGAACGAGTGAACCAAAATCTAATGCTTTTTAGCCTTCCAAGCGCTAACACTAATCGACTGGAACTGACACATGTTAGGAAGAGCTAGCACACGACTTTCGATTCGTTTAGTTTTTTGTTTTGTGAACTTTGTTCGTTCACAGCAAACAGCTGCATTGTACGTTTCAATTACCAGTTAATTACCCGATTATCACATTTTCCCAGTTATAAGATATTACCAGATTCAGATCAGCTCAAAAACAATGCTGCAAATGAGTTTTTGCACCACGTGCTGAACGAACATTCAGAGATACTCTGTTTTTATGACTTATGATGATTAGTTCACCCAACGGAGGAAAAAGTTAATGACATAATTGATGATTACTTGGAGCTGTATGACAATGAGTCGAAGTTTCTGATAGTGAACAACAAGTTGACGTGAGCGTAACACTGCTTGCAGTCTAGCGAAACCAATTTGTATCTGAAATGAACATTATGATTCCTCTGCATAATTTCTGTTAATCCTATTTCAATGGTGATCATTACTGTATAATTTTTTCCACGCAATTATGCTCGTGATGGTCAAGTTCCAACTACACATTACTGCTGAACTAATTTTGTGGCGTTTGAAATAGTGCGGAATATGAAATGAAATGACCTGTCGGTAGCGTTTACGTTGAACGTAGCCACGCCAAAACTTCTGAATAACGACCGCAGAAGTGCGCATCCTCTGGAAACGTCGTCTTTGAAGCCATCCGCGAACCGCTCTTTGAATTGTCACAACACGTGCCGTGAGCATGCGTTCACGCTCCTTTAATTATTATCACTTCAGAGAAATGCCATTTTCGAAATGCAATCAATTCAGCTAATTCCAACCAAACTCATATATCCTTTCCAANTCCTCCTTAATCATTCAATTATTTCCACTCAATTATGCTCGCTATAAAAATCCGCATAGATCTCGATGCTACTATTCCAATCGAATTTGGTTCTGTCGAAAAACTGACAGTGATAACATTCCCACATTTTCCTCCTTTCTTATGATACATTGCCTGTTATTGTGAATTGTTTCATATCGTTTTATTAATAACGATGCTTGTATCATTCGAAAATTACGATCATTTAATACAAGCTTGTTTAATTTTGATGCAATTCAGGGATCGCTTGTTAGCGTGGTAGCAAATATCTTCACGAATATACTTGACTAGCTCGTCATCGGTCTGATGGACAGGATGTCAAAGAAGCAGCCAAAGAGGTTGTCATCTTTAGTGTCTCGATTAAAACGAAATGTCACTTCACCTGTTCCAAAAACAGTTCTTGTGCATCCTTCAAAAACACTTTTGTTTTCCCCATCTGAAAATCAGCTTTGCCACCAAGCACTGTTTTGCATATTTTTTTCGCTGCTTCCACGCTATCCGCCTTGCCCGCTGAAATTGCAAACAATTCTGGTTGCATTCGCTAAATTTTTCAAGCAATATTTGCTAATTGTAAGTCTAGAATTTTCATTTTCAAATTCTCATAGATCGAACCCGAAAGCAGTGTTGAAATATTGAATCTATTACGATAATATAATACAACGTAGCTAATTTTGATAATATTTTTTAACGTTTCACTTCCTGAAACATTACGATAGCATTTCATTCAACGTTCGTTAATCATGTGTGCTCGATGAAGCGATATAAGCAAGAAGCAAATAACCGATGCGATAAGATAAGAAATAGAACAGAGACAAAGCACTGCGCATGGCGATTTGAACATTCCACTGTCGGCGCCACCTCAAAAGTCTTCTGCATCTTTTCACGCACAATGTAACGGACTAAGTAACTAGAGAACTTACGAATTCCGTTGACTAATACACGATATCGACGAACGAAAGTTTCGTAATCATAGCGAATTGGATATCCAGCCTTACGAATGCGAATTGTTTCCATCATACCCGAGTAACGCAATTGTCTACACACTAAATCCCTGTCAAATACCTGAAACGTTTTAGCTAATGTTTACGGACTGAATCAGATTGAAGTGCGTGGTTGCTGAAGTTAATGCATCAAGGAAAAAATATTTATTTTCATTTTTAACGATATTGTCGATTGCGAATGTTGATCTGAAGATTGTACGGTCAAATAAAAGAAACGTATGCTAACGAGTGGTTTCTTGACTTCATTCGGTTTAATACATCGAATAAAGAACGGTTCGCAGGCGGAGAGCTGCGACATGAGCGATTCTAATGATTTTCGGAATTGACTTCCGACGGTGATGTGCTTCCGACGAGTCACCGATGTTACACTGTCAAAGTCGTGACCTTCACCGAAAAGATTCACCAAAAATTTCATCTTACTGCTTTGAATTAACGTCTGCAGATCAGCTGAGAAAGTGTCACGATTCTTCTCGAGGAAACCTGCAAAGTAAACGTCACGATCGTTTTTAGCAAACTGACACCAACGTATTCACAATGAAATCATCTGCAATAATCAGAAACAGTCACAAGTCAAATTTAAGAAAATAATTCTTGAAGAAGTCTCAAATTTTGTGGTAATGTGCACTTCCAACGACAGCATTCACGAGACGAATTCTTGAATGAGTGGGAAGGTCGTCATGTATACAATTTCATGTAATAAAATGCTGCACAATCATTCATGAGTGAAATTTTTAGGATTCGAAATGTTGTTTTGGAGAGAAATTTATGACGTTTTGAAGACAAGGAGCATGAGTTTGATGAATTCGTTCACCTTTGTAATCATAAAACACAACGCCAGCATAGTGGTTAATTCCGAATGATTTGTTCAAGCTTGATTTCGGTTTTTTGTACAGTTTATCGTTGTGACCATGTGTTGCGTGCAGTTTATCAAGCATTGTTTGGTCGGTACCCTGAACTTGTCAGTTGGTTAGGCTGAATGTTAATTCATTCACAGTTTGACCGTATTTTGATTTCATATTATCACACTATAATGTGGGCTGTATTGTGACAATGCAGTTTCAAACGAGTGTTTGCTACTGATCAGAAAACAGTTTTCCTCGGAAATAACTGCTGAAATGATTACAGATCGAATGGTGAACAGTGATGAATGCAGAAAAAAAAATGAAAGTGACCTTAGGAAATATGCTTTCTTCGTCAATGAGTGACATGATACTCAAGTTTTGCTGCGCGATTAAGTCCAGAACGGCCTGATTATCGGTGAACTCGATCTGTCGCCAGTTGATCTTTTCTGCTTCGTATTCACTGCAAATCCTCTCCCCTCATTTCACTCAACAATAACGTATGCTCAATCGCAATTGCTCGATTCCTGTTCTATTATATCTCACAACACCGTTCTATTCATTTTTCAACGACACTATTTTTGCAGTGGACTTCTTCCGTTCTTTACACATAACCAGGCTACATTTACTACAACCAAACCAACGAAAATTCCACGAAATTATTCTGCAGAAAATCAAGAGTCGGGGAATTTTAACTGTAGAAGGTAATAGTAGGTAGTTCATAACATACTCTTGTTCCAGTTTGAAGATATGTCGCACGAAAAATTGTTGTAGATTTTCATTTGCATAATTGATACAAAGTTGTTCGAAACTATTCGTGTCGAAATTTTCAAAGCCAAATATATCCAAAACTCCGATGCTGTATCGACTTTGAACATTTTTACGTGGCCTGAAAGAGAAGAGATTTCTTACAGTGATATTCGATTGATTTCAGCTATCACCTGAATGGATCAGGCAACTAGGTACAACACTTCCAAACAATACGATAAACATTCAGAAGGAATAATTGATGTTTTAGTCCACTCACTTATAAATCGCTTCATTGATACGATTAACAAGGTAAAGAAAGAGTCGTCCGTAAATGCCCTTCACCAGTGCATCTCTTACATCTAAACTTTGCTGAGGCCCTAGACATGATACCACTCGCTCATCTCGGGTAACCAAACTTCGAGTTGTAAGTGAATTCACAAGACTGCGATCATCCACCTGAAATTTTCACGAATTTCGATAGATGCGTATTGGATCGTGATGAGGAGGATACGATCTTAAGGCAAAATAAATCTTCCGTTATGCATAACTGAACTTCTATTTCACCTTAACATCGTATCGCCGTCATCATGACCTTCTCCAGTATTGTCATGTGATCATCAACTACGATTTAATATGGCTTAAAATCGCAAGAAATTACTAAACTTTTTTCAACCTCTGTTCACTTATCTTGCCTCCAACTACACTCACACACTAATCGTAACATTTTCGTTGCACATTCCACTAAATATTCATTCTGAACATGATAACATGGCACAAGGCATTCTACGCACCAAAATTCCAGTTCACCGAATAAAGAATCGCTCACCTGTAACAGCTTCGCGACTTGGCTCACTCTAGACTTGTCTTTGATTTCAGTGGCTTCCATATTATTAACGGTGGTTGCTGAAATATTCTCTCTTGCAAAATCAAGCAATTAATGATGACTTTTCTAGAGATTTCAGTCCATGCAAGCGATGTGTTATGGAACTGCTTTTGCAAATTTGAAGAGAACTTTTTGATTTCTTAGGGCATCGCAAAACAACTATTTTAACAGTGAATATGGTGTCAGACATTACCATTGTATTTAATGTTTCCAGTGTGAAGTAGCGCAGCCAATATCTTGAATATCTGCCATATTTCAGCATCTTTGAACATCAGCACTTTCATCGCAGAGCGAATCTCGGCCAAATCCGCCGCATCATCTCGGCCTTCTGCTTCAAGTGTTTTACCCTGAGAAAAGCTCACTTTAGAACAACTCAAAATGATCTGAGAATGGAGGAATGACGCTACCGCTGAATAATGCCAACCTTACGCCGCAACATTCTATAAAAACCCATTTTCCATTGTAATAACTAACACGAAATAAGACGCACTCACCTGGGTGAGATAGAAATAATCTGCCGCTTTGGTCAAAGTGAGTTCATTCTTTTCGGTGTCGTTCAATCCAGCCAATAGACAATAGAAGATATGGTAGTTGCGTTCACCTAACGTTTGACTAACGAGTCGTGATTTCTCAAGAAGATACTGCTCAATTTTTGCGCCTTCAATAGCACCCGTCCCCGTGAAATGAATATCGATGTATTTGCCGAATCGAGACGAATTATTATTTCGAATCGTTTTTGCATTACCGAACGCTGCAATCAGTTACAATTACAGTCACATTAAACATCACTTGTTCCAAAGAAGCGGCTTTTTAATTTCATTTTGACGCTTTATCCAAAGCGAATATCATCAGCTCGAATCTGAAATTCTCTTCGAATTCCTAACTGGTGATCTTTTCGGAGCTAATTATGATCCTTTGGACAATGATGAAAAGTGATCGTAATAACAGTGCTCCTTAGAAAGGGTCACAGACAAATGCAGGCTAAATTTTTTAAATACAAATAATATAACTCATGTCAATGGAATTTAAATCTCAATGCGTGCATTTATGTTGTTTTTCATTCCACTACAATTAGTATCAAATATGCATCAAATCTAATTTGCAATAAGAAGTTATGCCATATTCAATGAGTACGTCAGCTGATATGAGTTAAGCATGGGCCGATTGGACAGAGTTCGATGGATTCGACATGGAAGTGACAGACATCATTAACGCCAGCCAAAATGGCATACCTTCCATGATGGGATTGGACTCAAGAATTTGTTGCTCTATCCAAGAGTGCTGTCCAGATACGGTAGCGAGAAACTGTAGAACGAGTTTCGTCGATTCGGTTTTACCTGCACCCGATTCACCGCTGAAGTTAGCCAGAATCAACAAAGAACATTTTGAGTGAGAAGAATAACTAGCAAATCTGAGTTTTTACGTAACTCTTTCAATATCGCATTACGAAGACAACTATTTTCAGAATGGATGAATGCACTTGAAACCACTAAAGGTAACTCGCTGAATCCGTCCGTAAGACGTTACTGATAAGCATTTATAATCGAGCGCCACTCTTCGACAACGAACCTGATTATCAAGCACTGATTGCGACCGTTTCGTTTCATGTTCGAGTAAGCATTATCGGCAATCGAAAAGATGTGTGGTGGCAATTCACCGATTCGACGATTTCGGTATAGGCGGATTTGCTCTGGAGTGTAGATGGGCAATTCCATGTATGGATTCATTGCAACCAAAATTGAACCAGTGAATGTCTGAAATGAATTCACCGATTTTAAAGGGGAATCAGAGTAGTAACTTTTGGATGAATACATCTTATCAATGCTTTAATCGTTTTTGGATCGTAAGTTGCCAATATGAAATCGACAAATAATCATCGTTTATGAACAACTTATACAAGCTAAAAGAGAGTTCCATCATAACGATTTAAATGAACTAGGCGATCATGGCCTGTGTTTGAATATTCACCGATTCACAATCAGTTGTGAAAGGCACTTACGTAGATGAGTTTTTGTTTGTATCGAATGAAGAGGTTCCTGAGTATGCCTGCTTCATGAAGATCGCCCAGTTGGATCATATCCTCCACACCTTGAACCGATGTTGGATGCATAACACGAATCTTTTGATCAGGAGATAACCATGTTTCCTTCAAACACAACAACGTCATTTAGAGAGAGCACATAAATCAAGCGCAGTTTGAATGAGTTCTTAAAGTTCAATATAAATTATAATGAATTATTCATTCAACCTTGCCATCGTCATCGAGTAATTTGATTTTGCCACCACGCGAATCGATAACCCTTGCACCAATCGGACATGAGAATTGATTCTTTACGGGTACTTCAATCCACAGAAAATCTCCCTGCGAATGAAACACTCATTTATTGTTTTGTTTATAATACAAACAATAATATTATATGATACTTTTCTATCTATTACATGAAATCTTTGACAAATCCATTGTTCAACTCCATCGCATAGTGTGAACGTTTCGTTTGAAGCATTCTGTAAAGGTACCCCTTTTAGTTCGTTTGCTGATTTCAACTAATGATGTTATTATGATATCATTACATTGACGTACACCTTGATACAGAAATCTTTCCTTCATGTTTTCTGTTGATGTTTTCTTAAACGAAATCTTAAAAAATAGTGTAAGATAGAGTGATAAATTAGATCTGAATGAAAGAAAAGGCAAAAATGGAAATTTCACAGTCGACTTGTCAACAAACTCGAGAACGGTGGTAGAAATCAATGGAACATTGGGCATGTGAACATATTTAGTATTTTCTATTCGAAAAATAATTAAGGTGAACAATGCGATTTCCATGCTATGTGCTATTGAAACTGGCATGTTCCTATTTGAATTACCAAGCAAGCATCAATGAGTACGTCAATCACCATCATTAATATTTTTTGCGCAAGTTTTCTCAATTGTCGGTCATTCGAAATCACATTATTATTCTTTCCATACAATGCTTGCGTACATATACAATTGATATGTTCATATATATATATATCTGCTGTACATTTTGATAGAATGTACTCAGTGACGTGCAGAAGACTAGCAGTTATTACATTTATATTGATAACAGATTATTGAAAATATTTGATATCGTATGTGGTAATAAAATGTGGTGAAAGATGTAGAAAAGATGGAAAATCTGGTAATAATAGTTCTCGGGGAAGGTATTTTCATGAAGGAGAATATCAGTTACTTCTCTTGTTCGACGTTAACTCTCAGCATTCTTACATGTGAAGAGTAACCGCACAGTTCAAGGTCATCTGTAGCGCACTCGTTATGATATTTGCTAGCAAAGATATTCACACGTGAAGTTTAACTATACTAAAACACTAAAAGTGCTATTATCAGACCCAATATCATCGCACAAACGATAGCGATAATAAACTTAATGCGATATTTTTAGAAACATCAATGCGCCGGATATTCATCATATATTATTTTGCTTTATAGTATAACTTATAAAACGTAATGAAACGATAAAACTGATCTTCACAAAAAGTGTTGATAAATATCAGTGACGCTAATGTGAATATTGACAATGGTCAACTCAAGAACGAGCATCTAAAGAAGGATACCTTCCAAAAACTGGACTAAAAGGTAAAGAAATCGCGAAGTTTGATCTTTTGAGATGTGATCAAAATTCATTCCAAGCTTCTCATAAGGTTATAATGTTTTCTTTAAAATTCAAGTGGTTCTACTGAATAACGCTTTTAGAAAAAAGGTGTACATGATAACGAGTCAGTCTGAAAGCTCACAACAGAATACATCCATCGCATGCAGCATCTGCAATAAAACTGCCAAGCACATGCATATACAGCTTAGCTGAGGGAATTGCCAATGCTCCGAAAGAAATACTCACTTTTGAAACGACGACCATTGCTGTATTTCTTTCGCAGCGAGTTGAACAACGGATTGAATTACTTTATAAGACAGCTGTATTGCATTACACGTTATCTGAAACTGCAAAAAACATTAAAAATTATCAGTATGCTTGCTAGATCGATCAGTTATCAGTCAAAATTGTTGGAATCGACGACAATCAGTTCGATTTTATCACAGCGGGACTAAAATGCGAACGTAAAAATAATTAGAGCCATCAGTTTTCAAAGGTTTCATGAAACACCGAAATCTCTTCTCAGCGTTAGGAGGCATCATTGTAAGGCACTTTCAAGAATGTAAATCAAGAAATGAGCGTTATGTGAACCAACAAATATGACTTATTAATGACGAACATTTAAAGTTATTCTCAAGGCATATGTAGGTAGTATCAGTGATAGTGATTCATTGAATCGCATCCATATATATGAATGGTGGAAATTATTCTTAGAAAACGGAGTCATTAATTAGAAAGATGAAGCGAATCATATGCTGAGATATGGAACGTCAGAAGACAAAATGATGCTCCCAAACGCCCGTCGATAATCTCTGACTTATCAGTGATAAAGCATTTTATTGTGCTTTATTGGAAAAACACAACGCCCAATTCACAGTCACACACTGACTCATAATCAGATCACTTATCATATGACTTATTAATGACGAATATTTAAGGTTTCTTAAATGTTCGTCTTAGCAACGAAATTTGGAATGAAAATCTGCCTCCACTTCACAGCACTGCAAAACAATAGCAAACTTTGTAAACAAAGCACGATTTTTATTCAAAATTTCTATTTACCATATTGAAATGCAAAGCAAAAGTGGGAAAAGGGCAGGGCACAAAACGAAATTGATCATATACAGCAATAATTCAACTTTTGGACTAGTAGAGATATTTCAATCACAAACATATAATAATTTGCGATTTTTTTGCGGTTTCAGAGTGATGATTTTTTCGGAATTGATTAATTATGATAAATATTTGATCGAAAGGAGAACGACTGAAGTATATGTGGCATCTTTACGATGAACATTCACACTCGATCAGCCTTTCCATGACCAATGCTCTGATGAAGCATCACGGAAGGCAAAAAAACATTCAGCTTTTGCGAAATTACGATGCCTTACAGAAGTGGTTTATGAAACATTACTTCAGAAATAACGATGAATCAGATGTTTGTCCCAAGTCGCAGTGATGGCTGTATGAAGAGCGAATATTTTCCATTGATGAATCGAAATGTGATCCAACAAAGATGACCACAATATTATCACAAAATAATGTATCGGTAATCATAAGCAGTAGAAGACATATTGATAACGGGCTATCAAAGGAAGAATGCAGTTCAAAAAAACATCATCTTAATCTCTATGTCTCAAGTGGTGTTTGATGATAATGCTTTATCGAATGATATGCATATGAGAAATTCCCATCATTAAGAATTAATATATTAAGAATTAATCAGTGAGTAATCAAGATAAGAACAAACCATCATAATGGCCACAACCAAAAAACGACTAGTAAACGATGATTGACGAGAAAGTAATTTTGTTCGATGGAATCGTTAGAATTGAGGGGATTGAAGAAACAGTGGAATACCAAGGATGAAAGAAAAGAAAAATGCTACAACACAGGACAGTTTTTCCCTTCAAACCTATCCATATTACCTACTCGCCAGTTCCTTAATTGCTTTTTAGTCTGCCTAATCACACAATGTAATACTAATCACCTCAAACATGAATGAAATGAACTGTCGAAAGGTGAATGAGATGACGACATTTATGAATGTTTGAACTGCTTTGTTTGCTAATTGAGTGTTTTGTGTACGTTATTAAGAAAACACTGTCAGATGAGTAGAACGAATACTTCTTCATTCTGAACATCTTCAAGCAAATAATATCCCTCTATTGTGAATGCTACTTCTTCAACTCGTAACATTCAATTGTTGACAACAACATCCAATTTCGTCACTCTCAATTGAAAATAACGCGACAAGCAATCACTTTTTTCGAGTAAGAAATAGAAAAGTCAGTATATCGGCCGATTTTGACAAATGTTTTCATTCCGGGCAAAAGCAACATCCAGTGACCATAAGATCAAAACGAATAGTTTATGATGCTTCAAGGTTGAAATGATCACATGAAAGCATCGTTCAATACTGCGTGGAGAAATGCTGTTAACAGCGTTCGAGGCGAGCATGTCCTTAAAACGTCTATCAGTTCTTTCCCACTGATAACAAAGAATGACTATCAGTGGACAAACATAAACATCAACAAATCCAGAAAAATCTCCTCGCGAAAAGAAACTCAGAATAACGGTATTGAACAGGAGAATATAGTTATGAACTGATAGAATAAATTAAGAAGAAGAAAGGCGATGAGTACTAATTAGATGGGCGAATAGATTTATTGATGAAATTGTTCGTAGAAATTTGATGAACGAGAGATGAGATGCAATGTTGTTCACCTTTTAATGTGCCATCTTGAAGGACAAACCACCTCATCGTGATCATTGTTTTAGTACGGTTACATTAGTTTTATTCAACGATTAAACCAATAAATGATCAACTGATTATGCTCTACTGAGGAGAGTTTCAACGAAAACTCGATTAGAGATTTTAAATGTGTGTAATTTCAGCAGTTTTCACATAACTTGTCGTGGGTAAGGATGTCGTCATAAAGAACGATTGTTGGTACCGCCAGAAATCTAACAGAGATAGTGCAGAGGCCGACGAGAATGAAAACGATAATGATAATTGCAAGTATGCTGCTGTCAGTGATATCAAGTTTAGTATCACTGAGAGCAGCATACTTGCAAATATCATTATCGCTTTTTTTGTTGACAACTTTAACCTTAAATGAAACAAATTTTCATTTTTGCAATAAACGAGAATGAAACCTCCAGGTGAAGATAACATAATGGCTCCCGAACGCAATGCGTGCTGACTTTCATTTGGATGCTTGCACCACCCTTCCATCCTTCCCACATATCAATTCCCATTTCGTTTTCAGCGTCGGCTGTTCCAATTATGAAGTAAAAAATAGAGCATTTTAGCAGCACGAATACTCAAATAAATGCAATACTGTTGACAAAATGAAACGAACGTTTCGTTTTTGATTTGTCGAAGGTATCACATCGACGAGAACATCTTTGTAAAACAATGAAGATAAACAGATATCACCGCACAGGAAGGAATGTGACACAACACGAGTAAAAAGAAATCATAAAAACAAATAAACATTCTGTGCGCTGTTCACACAATTGGGATTTTTTAAAAAAGACCTCGAATAGATGAGAGTTCGCTTTCATTCATACATTGCCATTCTTGAGAACAGTGACACGGTTTTTGACTTCAGAAATTGCAGTTTGATTGAGATTTTGCATTAATTAGGCGCTATACGATTAGTGTGTAATGAGTGTTGTATGATAGCAAATTCGTTCTGTGAAAAGAAACTCATCTCTAGAGAAAAGTCAACCTTTGTTATCGAATTCCAATCAATGTTTGATCCTATTTAGGGCACCCATAAGAATTCGGCAATGTAGTTAAATGTGTTCAACGAAAACTTATATTCGAATCACATATCATACAAGGCGCTTTGTGATAT